AGGGGATTGGCAGAGCGTGGCTGTCGGCCAACCTCCAACTCTTCACTCAGGAGGACCTGGGTCGGGCAGCCACAAGTGGTCTCGGCAGACATGTGGTTGCCGACAACCGTAGAATGTGAAGGTTAGAAAGAACAGAACTCTGGAAAGGAAGATGGCCACGATACTTGAAACGTAACAAAAAGAAAAGCAACGGAGTGACACTGAGCCTTTCTATAGGGACTGGTGCCTCTCACTGCCCGGCTTCATCTTCCAGTGCACGGAAAACACAACACAGAATCATAGCCGAAGCAAGCCTGATCGCTGCCAGTTCAGGTGCCCCGGCGGCCCCGGCTCAAGGTTAGAGGGACTCTTGCACTGAGTGGAGGGCATCTACTCCCCAGGCCAGGATCAAGGTTTTGATGGCTAAGATTCCATTGATCAGTAAAATGTCCTTCATCCTCTCCTACCTTCCTAACTGTCCTCACCGTTCCACACTCAGCTGCCCCACTGACACCTGTGACCCAGCAAAGACAGACCAGCCCTCCTCACGTCTATGATCCCGCATGTATTAGAACCACGCAGAAGAGTTGTCAAAACCTTGGAAAGTAGCCATCCAGTAACCTCCCACATGGCCCCAGCCTCAGGTCACTCCTCAGGTCACCCCTGCATGTCCAGTCTTGGACTCTTCACTCCTCATGGAATATAGACCTTCTGTCCCACTTCCCACCAGCACAGTCTGCTCAAGAGAGACCAGAGAACACAGCCGTACAATAGAAGGCCATGAAACTGCTACAAATGAGGCCCAGAAACAACACTGAATGGCATGGGAAAATGTAGAGGTCACACTGCGGAAGGAGAAGATAACCGGCTATAGTAATTCCACTTAAAAAAATCTGTTCAAATGTTTATATGTATACTCATATATAGATTTCTACAGATGAAGGGACATTTGGGGTAATAATCATGTCTGAATAATTTGAATATTTTATAATACACGCAAATAGTTTGTCTCAAAATAAAGCTACTTTTCAAAGAGGTCTATGAAGCATGCTTCATAATTAAAACTATGAGAAATAGTATAACAATATAAAGTAGGCATGATTGTGTATGTAAAAGGACCACAAATAAAGAATGAATGGTACATAAACATATAGCAGGGTAAGTAAAACTGTCTAAGTCTTCTGAAGTGGTATTCCATCGAATTCTGTGCTCCTCTATTTATATCACATCAAAATGTCCATGTTTGCGTCCCTGAAGGGTTCAAATTGTATTCATTTCAAATGTTGAGTCTTGGGAACAAAGAGACACCTATAGGAGTTAGATCAAGACAGTAGGGTGGGTGGGATAAAATTTACAAATGAAGTCTCCTATGATTGCCCCTGCTACCCTCAAAGAATGAGCAGGTGCACTGCCATGACGCTGGGAAGAAAATTCCTGGGCCCAACTTTCCTGGCCTTTTTTAACCAACACATACGATTTTCTTAAAAAGTCTTCATCATAAGCCCCTGTGATCATCCTGTACCGAACGAGAACCTCAAGACTGGCCCTGGAGGCCAAAACAATCACCGCAGCCTCCCGAGCGGACGTCTCTGCCTTGAACTCCAGTGATCGAGCAGAGTCCTGCACAGCCACTGTCTGGGAAAACACTCCTAAAGGTCAATAAGCGACCTTGAGCTATGTATAGGTTTTTCTTTTGTCATTGGTTTCTGATGTTATTGTTATTTTGTTTTGCTCGGTCTTGTTTTGGTGCATATTATTATCTCTGCAGGTCTATCTAGATAAGATAGGTGGGATAAAAAATCCTGAGGAGAAAACAATGGGACTGACAGTTGGGTGGGGGGGACAAGGAAGAGGGAGAAGCAGAGGCGGGGTGGGGGGGAGGAGGAAGTGGGTGTTAACAAACCAGGGACAAGGGAACAACAAGTGATCTAAAAT